CAGGGGCAGCACCCTCCCCTGGCCATGAGATTTAGCACCAATCATGAACGTGGTGGGAGCTGTTTTGTTTTATAAGACAATGAATGGTGGCAGTTCAAACATTGCCTCTGAAAACCTCTTCTCCTGAGTGCTGAAACATGACCCAGGAGCCACACAGAGGGAATGAAAAGAGAGGTTGAGCTGCTGGTGGGGATTTGAGCCGTGTCCCTTGGGGAGGGCAGGAGGCCTCTGAGCAGTTGTGGTGTCTGTGGGGATGTGTCTGATGCTGGTGAAGCCCTTTGGGGTCACTGGCTGGAGATTGGTGCTGGTGGAAGCAGAGAAACCTTAAAGTTCAACCTGAGGTGCATGTCAACAGAGAGTTTGAGTTTCTGCTGTAAAATCACCAGTGATCATCTCACAGATCATTACTAGTGATGTTTGGTCTATGTGGAAACCAAATATCTGTTACAAGACGTTTGGTTTATGTGAAAACCTGGATTTGGGGAGTTTAGGGTAAGGAAACACCAATTATTTGGTCTTCTCACTGTTCTTTTCGACCAGGGGCAGGAGTAAAATGAAGCTTGGAGAAAGTTCTATAAATACCAGTGGTAAAAGTCATTTTCCCTTTAAAAGTGTCCAGATAAAAGTGACACTTCTTTACTTATCCCTGTTGTCCTCTGCATGCTTTGGGGCAGATCAGCTTTGTTGGCTTCAAATGACTGTTTCTCTCCTGGCTTGGCAGCGTCCTGAGGTGTAAGGTGGGCAGGGCTGGGGCTGATTCTGCCCTCAGAGCCACTGGGCATCCTGGAGCTTGGCAGATCTCCTGGGCTGTCCCAAACCTTCAGCCCCTGGGGAGGGTTTTGTCACAACCCCCTGCAGCTCCAGGCTGGGGCAGAGGGGCTGGAAAGTGCCCCAGGGAAAGGCCCTGGGGGGTTGGGGGACAGGCAGCTGGAGAGGAGGCAGCGTGTGCCCAGGGGGCCAAGAAGGCCACCAGCATCCTGGCTTGGGCCAGCACTGGTGTGGCCAGCAGGAGCAGGGCAGGGATCGTCCCCCTGGGCTGGGCACTGGGGAGGCTGCCCCTCCAATCCTGGGGGCAGTTTTGGGCCCCTCCCTCCCAGAAGGCCCTGGAGGGGCTGGAGCGTGGCCAGAGAAGGGCAACGGAGCTGCTGGGGAAGGGTCTAGAGCCCAAGTGTGGGGAGGAGCAGCTGAGGGAGCTGGGGGTGCTGAGCCTGGAGCAAAGGAGGCTCAGGGGAGACCTTCTGGCTCTGCACAGCTCCTGACAGGAGCCTGGAGCCAGGGGGGGGTTGGGCTCTGCTCCCAAGGAACAAGGGACAGGACAAGAGGGAACAGCCTCAAGTTGCCCCAGGGGAGTTTAGGTTGAATTTTAGGAAAAACTTCTTCCCCTGGAGGGTTATCAGGCATTGGAGGAGGCTGCCCAGGGCAGTGGTGGAGTCACCATCCCTACAAGCATTTCAAAGCCCTGCAGATGTGGTGCTGAGGGACATGTTCTAGTGGTGGACTTGGTAGTGTTAGATTCATGGTTGGGCTCAGTGATCCAACCAGGATGATTTGGTCTTTTCCAAATGAAGCTGTTGCATGATTCTATGATTTCCTGCAAAAAACAGAGACCACCTCATGCTGCTCACCCCAGTGAACATTAAGAGATGGTTCAGGGCCTGCTTCAGCTCTGCAAATGTTGGGTGACCCTAATAGTGCTTCTTGTGACAAAGAACAAACATTTTGGGAACTCTAAGTTTGTGTATAACAGGGACAGAAGCTTTTTCATTTGTGTGGTGAGAAGAGGAGCTTCAAGGTGTTTGAAAGAGAAGAGTCTGGTGGAGGGGCTGGAATTAAACCAAGCAGGGTCTGGGATTAAACCAAGCAGGGTCTGGGATTAAACCAAGCAGGGGCTGGGAGTAAACC